GTTCACACCACTGCCCTCTGCTCCCTTCCCTCAACTGCCGGCTACAAGGGATGGGGTGAATTACTGAATCTCTACAAGCCTCGGCTTCTTGAGATTGTAATACCAAGCTCAGGTTTTCAGAGAATTAATGTATATACTCAAGAAATGTTAGCTATTAGTATTATGCCTTTAGAAGCTAATTTAGAAAGTCTGCGACAAATTCTTAGCGAGAATAAATTATGCCTTGGCAGGAAGTGGGCGGACATCCAGCTGTACCACCTTCCTGGCCTGTGAGACCATTAACATTGTTCAGTTTGATCATTATACTTTGAGGAGCTCTAACCAGAAGGATATGCAATAGAAATAGAGGTTTGGAGTGTGCAAATGAGATTATGAAAATGGGCAAAGTGCTTGCTTCTCACGAACAGGACGTCATCTTGCTTTGTAAAATGAATAAATAATTCAGAGAATAAAGTCAGTAAAGGCCTAAGGTATAGATAATTACTTGATTACTAGATGAGGACAACATTTTGGAGAACTTCTAGGCATACTGCAAGCACAGAAAGACATCAGGGAATGTGTGTGCTCTTTAATCCTGCAGCATGTTTTGCAAGAGAGGCAGTGCCTTCAAATAAAAAATAGAGCCTGGTCCATTCTAGCCAACAATATGTTACAACACAGTACACACATTCTATCAGGGCAAACAATTTCTTTAAAACTTTCTTGGTGTTTCTTGTATTCTAACTGATCAGTTGTTTTATGCAAAGGCAGAATTCATGTCACATAAGACTCTCCTGGTCTCTCTAGAGTAAAGGACTTTGCAAAGGGATAGATAGCTGGACCACATTGCAAAACTGCTAGCCCCAGAGCCAAGCTTGGCTTTATTAGCTGGGTGACTCTAGTTAAGTGACTTAACCTCTCTGAGCCTGATTTAACACATATTTTCTGAGTGCTTATCATATACCAGGCATTGTTCTATGGTAAATTAGATGTTCCTCGAGTCCTATATATTCTGAAAGTCTTTAGTTCATCCAAAGAGCAGCAGTAGTTAAGAGGTCGCTTTCAATGTGAGTGATCAAGAGCATGGGTTTTGGACTCTTATGAATCTGGATTCAAACCTTGGTTCTGCCACTAACTGGCATGTAAACATTGCACAGAATAGTGAAAACCTCTGCATCTGTTTTCTCAGCTGTTAAAACGAGATTAACAGAACTTGCTCATTAAGGTACCTGTCAGGATAAATTTTGTCTATGTGTGCATACAGTGCTTAATAAATGGTGGTATTCTATTAGCAATGTTCGGTAATGTGGGAAAGGAAGTACATATAAATGAGAAGGATTGGTAAAACTTTAGCTGAGAAAACTCTGACATAAGCATTGGAAAGTATCATAACATAACTGTTCTTCCCAGTGCTTTGTACTGGGAAGTAAACATTTTTTTAAAAAACATGATTGTTGGGAAAATCTCCTGTATTTATTTTTATAACCTCACTGCCACCTATTTCATAGATAAAATATCTGAGAGGAGATATGGGACTTGTCCACAGCTAGTTGATGATACAAGATAGATCTAGAAGGCAAAACTCCTAGTTCCAGACCTAGTTCTTCAGCTGCACTGGGCATTCTTTACAGAAAAAGGCCACAGGGTTAGGACACTGGCCTCAAATACTAGCATGTGTCTCGTTGATGAAAAAGAGGGGTGAATATTACTAGACACCCGATGATCCCATGCCAAAGCCCAGGAAGGCACACACAGAACCCTCACCAGAGGCCTCCTTAGGGCAATCTCTATCTTAATGCGGTTCTAAAGAAATGTGGCTATTCTAAGGCTTTGCATTCAAAATGTTTGATATTCAGGCACACTAACCCCAAAACAAACAAACAAAAACAACCACCTAAATGTGACACTAAAATGCAATATTCCACTTGCTAGCTGGTTCTACCATCTTACCGTTTCCCCCGGAAGTGGTTTCAGCTGACTCTCCACGGCAGCCATCTTGGCATCTTGCAGTTCATTCTTGAGTGTCTGCACAGTACTCAGAGCTGAATCGATTTCCATAGGACCACAGGCTTCGTGGGCCTGTCAAAAGAGTGGGGAATATGTGTACACATTCTGCTTGGGAAAAATGTTCCTAGTTCTTTGCAACATATGAAACACCTTTCTAGATGTACACAATGAGCCTCTAACTCTGGAAGCAAGTCATAATCTTAGTCCTAACTTCCTTAAATAATAAATTATGTATGTCTCATAACTGGATATACTTAGTTTCCATGAAGCTATTTTTATCTGAAATGCATTTGCCTCTCAGACTAAGAGGACCCTGTTCACTGTATCTGGGTTCTAGAGACAGGGCACCCAGCACAGCATATGTGCACATAGGGGCTTGAAAAACATGTGGTGAGTAAAAAATGAAGAAAGGAAGGAGTGAACGAATGAATCTAGGACTCTAGGACCAAATCTTTTATCCACCTTATTGGTTCCCTTTACCAATTTCTAGATTATAAACCATTTTCCTTCCAAGCTGAAAATTACTATAGGTATTTTCCTTAGTAATTTGCTTTAAGAAAACTTCATTTTCTTGATCATTTAAAGTACTGTTCTCCAAATATTTTGATCACGCACCTCTATTACACATGTTAATAAATTATATACATGCGTAATTATGGATCAGTATATTAAGTATTGGAAAATCTTAATTTCATTCCCTTTTTTAGGTAATAGTAACAACAGCAGCAGTAAATACTAATTGATGGATTTCTATGAGCCAATATTACATGGGGAGGAAATCGAGGCACAGAGAATAAATTAACTTGCCCAGGTCACAAAATCAGTCAACAGCAAGGCCAACATTTGAATATAGGTAGTCTGATTCTAGAACCAATACTCTTAACCCTTATACTATGTAAAAAATAAAATACTTGAAAGATCTTGGTATCTTTCTGTACCCAATAGACAGTCTTGCTTGAGTCCCTCTTTGAGGTTCACTGCTCCAGGGCAGTCATCTGAGGTGGCTTTGTATCTGAGACTCACTAAGGAAACGGGTTAAAATGCAGACATTTGGGTTCTATGACCAGAGATTCTGATTTGGTTGTGCAGAGGCCCAGGAGCCCGCATTCTAAGTGCCCCCAGGTGACTCCAGTACAGATGGTCCTTAAACCTCTTTGAGAAACATAGCTCAAAGTACTTTTTATTGGAGATAATCTAAAGCTCTGGATATTTTCTTTGGTGATGTAGCACTATTCATAGTAAGAATTAAAATCAGCTTCTATCCTTCCTTTGCTCATGGATGAGACCGGCTATTTCTATAAAGGGATTGCTACAATGAGAAAAAATGAATTCATGCCAGAACATCTTGCTAATGCCACATCAAACAGTGCAGTAATGAGGCTTTCTGGTAATTAATAAGTTCCAGAGACAAACTCATTAACCCCTTATTCTGTTCAATTGAGGATCTTGTTAAGGTGATTGTTCTCATTTAAGATGTGAAAAACTTTCAGGGCAAAAAATATAATATAAATGACCACCTGAGATAGATTTGCTTCACAAAAATTTGTTTTTAAGTTCACAAAATGATAGCTGAAAGATATGATCGATCACTTACTTTGGTCCACAATTTACCTGGCACGAAGGAACTGATGACTACCAGTCTCCCCTTATGAAAATAGACCCTTATTTGATCCAGGGTATGGGAGGAAGGGGAGGGTGCAAGCTAAAATAGTTTAACAAAAGTCATCTGCTACCAGAAGGTGATGAGGAAGTCTAGGAGATTGTGGCTAAAAGCAGTAAAAGCCAATGTATATGTAGGACATCTTTAATGGTCATGCAAAAGAAATGAACAAGTAATATGCCCAGCAGTGTCCAGGCCCTGGGCAGCATCAAGGTCACACCAGCAGTAAGGAATTAAAAGCACTATTCCCGATAAGCTAACTGCTGTGGCAAGGGTCCACTTGCCTTCTGTGAGGCGGTACGCAGCTCTGCCAAGCTGGTGGCAAGGTTCTTGGCACACTGGCTCAGCTGCATGGCTGCAGCTTGGTCGCTTACGGTGGGCACTGCAGCTTTGGCAGAGGACACCATCTTGCTTCCAGGCTGTAGAGAGATGAGCAGAAAGTAAGACAGCTCCTGGGCAGCAAGAGTGAGAGAGCAGACTCAAACGGCAAGGTCACATATCAGTCAGCACTTACTTTCCCTAAAACAAGGAATTCTAAAACCATCTACATTCCCTCTGCAAACTGCCACCCCAAATCAGATACTCTAGGGCAATACATTCTAGGAATGTTAAAAAAAAAAAAGATGTGTCATTGGGGAAGGGGCAAAAGTGGGACAGTAGCTTGAAATTCTCATTTAAAACAGATTTCAAAGAGGGTTTCTTATTAAATATGATTCTGTGTTTCTTAGAATAGCTCTTTAATGTATGTTTCAAATATATCCAATAGATTATTTAAAAAAAATATAGGCAGACAAAATGAAACAAATAAAATGACTTCTCACATCTTACTACCTAGGATAATTTCACCATGCATGAAATGTCTGCACATATGAATAAATGTTTTAAAAAATAAGATCGTACTATTAATTCTATTTTTTAAACTCCTTGTTTTACATATTCTTTTTAATAGCTATATAGTATTCCAGTGTATACGCCTGTTAATATTTCTCAATTCTATATTGTTGGGTATGGTTCTCATTTTTCCAATATGAAAAACACCTTTGTGGCTAAAATTTTGTACATGTTCATAATTTTTTTTGTGTATGAATTTTTCAAAGTAGAATTTGTGGAACAAAGAGTATATATATTTTTAAGGGTTTCAAAATACACGCTATATAACTGCTATTAGTAAAGCTGTAACACATTTAAGTGCCAGACCATAAACATTAAGGACAAAAGTTAATATTTTTACTATTTAAAGAATTCATGAGAACTTATAAGAAAAAGCAGCATGAGTGTAGAAAAATCATGAATAGACTATTTCACATAATAAAAACAAATAACTGAAACATGAAAAATGTTTAACAAACATTGAGAAAATCAAGGAAATGTAGAATCAAAAAATAAGAATTTTACCAGTTAAACTGGCAAAAACACGTATCTTTTTAAATGCTTTTTTTTCCAACTTAGAAAAAATGTATTAAAAAGTTCACTCCATAAACTGCTATTTGTAAATTTAGACTCATTTGACCTTCTGGCAGAGCAATTTTACAACAGGTATAAAGAAAGTTTAAAACGTAAAAACTTTGATCTGCCAATTCCATTTTTATTTATTTCTAATTCTGCCTTATTCTTGAAAAGATATGATATGTCTACGACAGGAAAATTAGAAAAAAAAAAAGAAAGTCAAAAGAAAAACCAGGGCAGGGACAGGGTGGCCCTTGGAACACATCTGTGCTGCTCTACCATCATATCCTACAATCTTGTTAGCAGTGGGGACAACACAATTGGCTCCAGGCCCTCCAACCACCTAAAGGAAAAGAGAAACACCTCGTCCAAGCCACAGTTCTCAATGTCTCAAAGATAAAAACAAGCTGCTCACAATCCTGTTTCCAGAAATTTACCCTAAGGAAATAATTCAAGAAGGGTAAAAAGACTTGAGCACACATAAAGACTTTTATGATATCACAGGTTGTTTATGATGGCAAATAATTGAAAACAACCTATATGTCCAATGATGGGAAGTTAAATAGTGAGTATAGTCATATGATAGAATGTTATTTAAAATCATTTTAAATTGAGATTCACAATGAATCTCAATTTAAAAAACTATAGACATACATATGTATGTGTGTGAGTATGTGTGTAGTTAAAATGAGAGGAGGTACATCAAACTTTTCATCTTCTATCTCTGTATGTTAGATATATGACACTTGAAAAATTAACCAAATAGATGTAATACTGGGTTCTGTAACTATGGTTCAACTAAATGGAGACAAGGGAGATAATTACCTAATCACCTGAACTGTTTTTAAGACATAGGTAGGAAGTTCTGAGAGATCTGATTACAAGAAGTATGTAAAAAGGGAGTTTTCCTACAACTTAATAACCTCATGTCATTTCATTTTCCTTAAAATGAATCTACTCCTCATCCACAAAGACTGACAATACTTATTAATTCTACAGTTGCCACAAGAAACCATCACATCTTTGGAGAAGATGTGTTCACCATTTCTTGTTTCCCAGGCCATGAATAATAGGATTAGCCACTCTGAAAACTAGCAGACCTAAGGCAGTACTAAGGACTAGGCTGTTTATCACAACTTGCAACTTATTACATGTTTTTTTCTGATAGAAGAAAAATAAAGATACTCCTGAGAAAAATGGATTATATGCCATCTCTTGGGGCAATTCCCCTGCATATTAGCACTCTGCTTTGCCAAGCTAAATCTATCTCTCTTGAAATTGCACCTATAAAGAGGAAGCCTTCAAGGTGTGCTTACTGCAAAGACTGCTATGGCTGTGGAATTCCTTAATTCCTCTCCTTAATGATAAAGGGCACCCCCTGCCCAGTGGGGAGTTCTGAATAAAATCAAGGTGAATGCTTCCTTGTTACCTGGAGGAAGTTCTGGCTGGAGATGATGAGAGCCAGCTGGGCGCTGAGGTCTTCTGCTTGGGCTTGACTCCCTCTGACCCCCTGGACCAGCTGAGGTATGTGATCAGCCACTGCCTACAGGAAGCAAGGAAATTAAATTGAGCACACCTAGCATGAATTACCAAAACAGGGTGGAAAATGACCCAATGATGTTTTTTGGCTGTGCTATCACTCCTGGGAATGCCTGTCCCAGACTTTGGATTTGTACAGCCCTTTTTGCCAGCTAGGTCCTTATCAACACTGAATCCTAACAAAAGAACCTCTGACTTCCCTTCTCCCACACGTGCTCTACCTACCCTGTTGTCCCAAAGATCCCAATACATTCATCACAAGACGAGTCTCCATAATGAGGCCTTAAAAGAATGTCCCTAGTTCCAACTCACACCACCCTGGCTCATTAGGGTTGAAACCTTAGAATCAAAGAATCTATACAATTCACCGGTGAAGAAACTTGAGTCTTGTGGTCCCCTGGTCAGAAGAAAAGTGAGCAAAGTACTCAACTACCAGCATATTCCGGCACTTCGATTTCTTACTTTGCAGGCATACATTCTGTCAGCTTTCATGTCACCATGGCTCCTCTTCCTGTTCTAAGTAGCCCTTTCCATTTTTCAAACTGGAAAACCCAGGGTAGAGGAGGGAGGTGCAGTGGATGTCACTGCTTATGAAGGTACCAAGTGCATCCCGCCCTGGTGTCACTTTTTTCAGGAGCCCACTCCAACAAAGATTAAAAAAAATATTTCCCCTGAGATTTTTCTCAGGACTTCTGGCTCCAGGAATTTGGTTCCCTTCCCCTCTCCCACCTCATAACTAGTAATGCTCTCATTTCCCAACAGTGATACCCACAGGCTGAGCATCTTTGGTCTCTTCACAGAGGTGGTGAAGGGGATTCATACTGTAGTATTTTCCTAGACACAAGAAGCATTTGCTCTCTGAGAAGGGAAAATGCTATTTTTCTACTCTTGCTGGCCGCTGAATTGAAGCCTGAATAGTAAACAAACTCCCCTCCACCAGGGGCTGGCTCTCTGAAAGACCCCTTCTTTATGCTTACGGTTCTGAGGATGGGGCCCTCCTGCACTGCTGAGGCCTTTGTACTAGAGCACACTCGGTCCTAGACATGGGGGCTGACCTCAGAGAACCCGGAATCAGGACTTGGAGGGCCCGGGGTGGTTCCCCTCGGAAGTAAAGCTATTTCTGAAGTAGAAGTGGCAACACCCCTCACATGTGAATCATTTCACAGAGGAGATTTGAAAAAGGAGAGGGCAGTTAGCACTCAGTACCCAGGCACAATCCAATATGCCTCTCTGGCCAGCTCCCACTGCTAACTGCAAACACTTTCAGGAGACCTGAGTCAAGACATATTGCTAACACACGGGCGATGGCTACGCAATTAGATTTTGTGTCTGGCACCATTCAGGGGTCTCCTTGGAGAGTCAACTCCCTGGGTCCTCAGAGAAGGCAACAAGGGTGTTCACTGTGCCCTTTGGCTGCAACATGGCATCAAGGCCCAGGTCTCAGAAGAATAAATAGGTAACAATAGAAAGCGCCAAAGCACATCGTCACTGAAGCCAGATAGGATGAAATAAATCCTTGAGGTGCAATCAGTGTAAAGCAGGAAATCAACCTTGCTACGATGAGTATAGACTGACTGCGACGGCCCATGTCACAAAGGGAGACAAGCACTCTGGAAATTCAATGCTTCATTACTATTTCAGAGCCTGAAAATGGCCTGGTCATTGATCCTCTTAGATTCAGTCTCTCGAAAAGAATCTAGACAAAAGAAAAAAAATCACGCTCTCTCTCCACATAGGCCATCCACTTAACAGACAAAAACCAGATGTACGTGTGTGTGTACACCTGGAACATAGGAGCCGGAACAAACTGGATTAGGGGCCTGGATGATCGGTCTTAACCAAATCACCAGGGCACTTGGCGTTCTAATGCTATCAGGGTTATTGACAGCAGACCTGGCTCTGGCAGCAGGATCCTCACCTTGCAGCTCTGAACCAGCTGTTGCTGGGCTGCAGGGTTCTTGTTGGACACGGCCGCGTTCTGGGAGGCGGCGATGGTCTGCGTGGCTGCAGCTGCAGCCTGCTTAGCTGCAACCTGGAGAGGAGAGGGAGAGGTGATTTGAATGTGCCAACATATACACACGCACATTTATATATGTGTCTTCCATTAAAGTGTTGGCATTGGATAGCTGCACGCGTAAGAAAGGGAATTCCAGGCACAGGCTCTGCCTTTTAAATGCCATTGATGATCCTGACCTAACAGTGCCCTGTTATCTTCATTTGGTTTACATTCCCTGGGACAAGTGATAAGCATGCTTGAAAGGTCAAGTTCCATTGTTCATTTGTCTTTCTCAAAAAGACAAGGGACAATTCCAAGATGGTGATGGTAATGATAAGCAGCACCAAGTCTAAATGTGTTAGGAAAAAAAAAAATTTCTCCCACAGCAGCACGGGCTGCTCTCTGGGTCAAGCACAATGTTGGTGCTCATGACTGTTCTCTAGCAACCCCAGGGAAGCCACGGTTCAGAAAGGCCCAGACTTTCCCACAGGAGTCCTTGTGTTTACACTCTCATGTTCTTCCAGGAGTTAGGAGGCCAGTTTTCCTCCAGAATCCTGCAGACTACACACGGAGGGATTACACCCTAGAAAGGCAGCTTCTCAGCCTCTAGTTATCCAAATTTTAGTGTCAGTCTCCTGCGTACATTTGTGAGACAGATTTATTTTCTTACACAGTTTGCACCAAACTTTTTATTTTCTATTGGGAGACCTGAAAGAATCATTGCCTCCAACAAAATATACACATTTTTAGCTAAAGGTCCTTCCTGAATGTAGACATCCTGTAAAGCCAGGGGAAAAAAAAAATCCTGGGTCCTCCTGAAAGAATATTTGATTTCTATTTAGCAATGCCAAACTCAGAAAACATTTTGGCTTTCTGAAACCATGAACTGAAGCAATTTTTCAGATTGTGTCAAGGTGCCTAAATCATTGAACCTAAATGTATAATGTATGTAAACCAACATTTCGAATGATGCTTAGTATCTAAACCATTAAACTATATCGTTAATCTTGATTTAGCTTCCTTTACATTATAAGGCTTTTCCTTATTAATCTGATTATTCTTTCCAGGAACTCTTTGCATCTAAAATGAGCATCACAAAATCAGCCTCTTTACTGACCTCCAATCGATTGACAATTTTTTTCTTAATAGCATTCTGGGCAGCAGCGTTGGTTGCCACGCGGAGACCTTCCGCAGCTTCTCTCAGTCTTTGCTGCTGGTCCTCATTCTCAGGGTTGGCTGCAGCACCCTGAGAAGGTGAAAATAAAGATTTCAAGAGGTTCAGGGGGCAGCATGCCACAGACACTGAACGCATAGCTTGAATTTTACTTTTTCCTGGTAATTCAAAGTATCTGGAAGAGAGAGCCAAATGTGTCAAGCAATATCTTTATGATAAATATGCTTCCTCTCAACAACAAAAAATATCTACTAGATGTTTCAAAACTGTACTGCTAAGCAGTAGAAATTCGATGGTAATAATTAAACACATGAGATCATAGCCTTGGCTGTCCATACAAATTAACTTGTGGTCAGAAATCCATGATTTAAAAGACGGTAAGATAAATATCCCTCTGCTCATCTCTCTCAGAATTTTATGTTGATTGGTATGACAGACACATGTCACTGGTGAAAGATTCTCCTGTCTGAGGAACACCATACATGTAGAAACAAAAGTGTATACATCGGTCCTGGCTTGGTCCTGGTTATGTGATGGTTGGCTTGTTCTTTTTGAATTTTAATTTCCTCATCTGTAAAATAAGGGATGAGATTTTTCACTAAGGTTCTAGCCAATAATTTTTGTGAACATGAGAGTTTGCTTGAAATAGCTTTGTTTAGACTTAGAAGGGGTAAAAAAGAAATTAGTAAAAACCATTAAAAAATTTAACTACTATACAAAACTCTAATGTGTATTTTTGCTAAAAGAGATGGTTAAGAGGCAGAGCTTCTTGGCTGAAACAGAGATAAGGGGACAAAGGAAGTTTAGACCCTTCCCCTCAAGTTTCTCTTCAGCCCTACCTGCAATGTATCTGGAAGAACTCTCAGTCCCTCAAGTAATACAATGGTGAGTCAACAAAGGTGGTCTACATGGCTCACTGCATGTCACAATACATTCTAAGTGAAGTAATTTACATACTTGGTTGAGATAAGCTACTATTCTGTTGGAGGCCTGGGAGACAGGATAAGATGTGGGGATGTTTAATGAATCTTAAATGCAAAGAAGTACATTAAACATGTTACCTATAGGGTATGAAGTTGAAGGTGATTTTTGTTTTCTTATTTACAGTTTTCTGCATTTTCTAATTCCACAGGAAACACATGCTAATTGCATAATAAAAACAACATAGGAAAATATAGCCTTATCCATTTTAAACAGTTCTCACCTAGAGGTAGGCATCAGAATCTCCTGTGGAATGTACACACACACATACACATACGTGAACACAGTCCCACCAGAGACCTCGTGGATCAGGGTCTCTGGGGGTGGAATGGAGGCATGTGTGCTTTAGTATGTTTCACAGGGAGCTCTGAAAGAGTCCCAAGTGAAGAATCACAGGCTTTTAGAAGCATCATGACATATGACACAGCTGTCAAAAAGCACAAAACAGACCCTTAACTATTCAAACTCTTCTATAATATTAAATTGCTACTGGGATTTGAAGAACAGTGAATCAGGAAGTGCTCTACTATGTAAAATCTTGATAAAGAGTTTCGTTGAGAATTCAAAAGGAGGGCCAAGTAACATTAAGGCTGCAGGAAGCAAACAGGTGTAAGTTAATTTACTGCTGAAAATCTCAATTTTAGATGAAGCACCATTTTCAATAATGCCAGTGGTGATTACTCAGTTGAGAAAGAGCACTCACTAAGCAGATACTTTGTTACCCATGGCTGAGTCGACACCTAAACGGCTCCATCCACATCTTCCACGACCTTCTCCTTTCCCACTTGAACAAGGTGAAACATTACAACACCACATAGGTTTTAAACAGACAAAACTGCACACTTGGCTTGACCATTCTCTATCTTGAAGTTACCTTCTAAATCCTAGCTTTTGCTAATGTTCACCTTTCAGTTGGACAAATCCAATGTAATACCTTTGCAGCTTCCACCATGCGAGCCGTAGAGTCAGCCAAGAGTTTTGCTGCTGCCAGGAGCTTCTTTGAATTCTCCATGTCAATTTCAGCTTCTGCATCTGACCTCATGGCACTGACGAGGTCTGAGGTGGCCTGGGCCAGGACCCGGGCCTGGCGCACCATTTCACCTAGAGGGTGGGATTGAGGATGTGGTCAGTTTGTCTGCTTTCTGAAGTGCTAGTGAAACCTCAGGAGTCATCAGTCTCGTCTCTACTCTGACAAGAAGGATGGAGAGAAGCAAGCCCCCGCGCTCTATTCCTAGGCAATGCAGTCAAATTAGATTCAGAAATGAAAATACCCCCTGTGGCTGCCAGGACTGCAGGCCCCAAACACATCCAATTGGAATCTTTAAACAACCAAAGAGGAGCTTTTTATAAAGAGAAGGCAGGAAGAAAATTATGTGGTTTTACGATGTGCATTTATCTTTAGTAAATACTTAAATAGAAAATATTAATTACCTCACGTCAAGAACTTCTTACAAAAAAGCTCCTATAATAAATTCTTAGAGTAATGTGTATCGAAAAAATTATTTTTAAATTTTGAATTAATTCACATGCTACCTAACACCAGATAAGTAATATCACATAATCTGTTTGTGTCATTTGGCTTTTACTAATAAAAAGCATAGACCCTACTTTCACACTCAAATGCTTGGTCCAATTTTCCCTATCCATTTTATCTTTGCTCACCCTATTCTTCTCAATACTGGTTTTGATATTATTAGTAATGGTTTGATTATATTATACCTGTGATTTTATTTAAATCTATTTCAAGTTCCTTTTGGAAGTGGGAGGGGTATAAGAGTCAACATTAAAAACAAAGCTACCGAAATGTAAGGGACTTCTTCCTTTCCTAAAGGTCATTTGAGAAGAATGCTGAAGAACTGTACATTTAGGGTAAGAGAAGCTTTCAGGAAAATCGAAATGTGCTACATTCAAGGTATCCCGGATTGGATTCTGGGAGAGTAAAAGGACATCAGTGGAAAAACTGGTGTAATCTGAACAACGTTTGTTGTTTGGCTAACGGGACATACCAATGCTAATCTTCCAGTTCTGGCAAATGTGCCATGGATTATGAAGACGTTAAAAATGTGGGAAACTGGGAAGGGCAGACGACAACTCTGTATGGTTTCACAAGTCTTCTGTAAGTCTATAAGTGTTCCAAAAGACAAGTTTTACTAAAAAACAAAAACAAAAGAATAACAAAAAGATCTAAATGTGTGGAGCACTGCTATCTTCTTAAATCATGTAAAAAGGACACAGAAAAGCATAAGGTAATTTTCTTTAAAAAATACTTGTTATAAGGTATTGCTCTGTACTGAAGAGGAAGTTAAAAAAAAAAAAAACAGCTCTCACAAACTACTGGCGGGGTTGCACATTGTGGGACCTTTCTGGAGAGAACTTTCTTAGAAACATTTAAAATAAAAAATATATACAGCTATTGGCTCAGCAATTCCATTGATAGGAACTTACTCTACATATACTTTCAAAAGTAAAAAAAAAAAAAAAAAATTAAGATATTTTTATTTTGCTTACTGAAGCATGCTTTTTGTAAGAGCAAAACAAATTAATAAACCAAAAAAAAATGGAAACCACTTGAATGTCCATTAAAAAATAACTGGTCGAGTCTACGGCCTTGCCACCCTGAACGTGCCCAATCTCATCTGATCTCAGAAGCTAAGCAGGGTCGGGCCTGGTTGGTACTTGGATGGGAGACCCCTTAGGAATACCAGATGCAGTAGGCGTTTAAAAGAGAGAGAGAAAAAAAAAAGATAACTGGTCGAGTAAATTATGGTATATACTATGCTGCCATTAAAAAGATTATTGGGTAGGTCAACATTAAAAATAGTCAAAAATATATTAAGTGAAAACAGTTGTAAAAGTCTGTATAACACAATTCCATTTATATATTTTAAAAAAGAGGGTGTTACACACATATACATGACTGTAGAAAGATCGAAAATTTTTGGACAGATAAAACAGACATTGCACAGAAGTTGTTAAGTGGTCAGTTCTGGAGACTTAGGTGGGATAGAGATGAGCTGGGTCTGGGGACACATACTTTGCAACTAATAGACTGAAAAATTATATTGTATATATTTTTAAATTTTATGCATATGATGATGCTTGACATTTAATAAAAACCTTACTGGTTGGAGACAGACTGCCCCTCGTGGGCTCACCAGTTCTTAAGAGATAGCAAAGGGTCCAGAGCCAGGAGCATGTCTTTGATATGGAAACTAACCAGTCCTAAGCCATACCTCCTCCAAGCGGCCAGGAGGCAACATTCCTCTGCCTTAATCATCCCAGAGTCAGGTACCAGGCAACTAGGGACTGCCCCGATAGTGTGGAGCCTGTTGAAATTACTCCAACTGGCCAATCCTGAACTGTTCATTTTGCCCTGCCTTGCCCTGCCTTGCCTTGCCCATGGAAACCTGAATGAAGGCTATGGCCTAAACTCTCCCCTCAATCCTTTCTTCTGTGACCTGACCAAAACCTGACACTTCCCCTTGTGACCTTGAGTGGCATGTGGTGATTCCCTCTCTGAGACCTGTGAGTATAATAAACTTCTTTCCAAGACCCATTCTTGCTTCCTCCTGTGGCTGTACTGACTTACTATGTCACATTCAACATAGATATTCGTAAAATAAAAGGCATTTACTGTGAACTTAAATTATATATATAAAAAAATCCTAGTTAACTTTTAAATCTTTAAATGCTGCTGTGGATGGACATGTTATGAGTCTTCCATCCTTTTACCAGCCTGAGAGAGATAGTATCTGAATGAGGGCGATGAGAACTCGCCCTTGACAGGCACCCAGGCAGCCGTCACCTTTCTTACCATCGTCACCCTCTGGGAACCCCGGAATGGCCCACCCACCCCCAGCCTAGCCCCTCACCAGCATCGCCCATGGAGCTGAAGATGCTCTCGGTGACACACATGATGGTGTCAGTGGCCTGGTCGTAGCGGCCGATGGGCTCGCCTCGGCTGGCAAACTGTCGCACATGCTGCAGGAGATCGTGCAGGGCCTGGCTGACCACACTGGCTGCTGCGCTGACCTGCTTCAGGAGCTCGCTGTCATCAGTGGCTGCCTGGCAGGCGCGGACGCAGTTCTCCACCGAGCGGTCTACGAGCTTCCCTGCTTCGATCAGCTGCTCCTGGCACACAGGGGAGCTGATGGTGGGGCTCACCACCTGAAGAGAGACAGGAGCAGATCTAGGTCAACTCTTGGTCCTCAGTGTGTGCTAGTATTTCTACCACATCGACTTCCTGCTCTGGGTCTCTGTTCCTTACTTATAGGACCAGGAATTAAACTAAGCCATCACTGTGGTTTCTCATACTTCATTATTTCACTTCGTCTTTGTGATTTTTAGATGTCTGCTAATTTTACCTTCATTAGTGATATGTAACAGTCTATACCACTGACTATTTCTACAGAGAGAAATTTCCAGTATTTTACCAATTATATCTCCTCATTTTAGAAACCCTCTGGAATCTTCTGAGCTAGGATAACAAGACCATCTAAAAGAATTTTCTTTGATCAGAGACATTTGGAACTCTGCTTCACGGTACTTAAATAAACGGGGATTCTGTCAGTTATTTGTGGACACGAGGAGGGTAAAACAAGGAAAGCAGGAGGGAGACCATCCAGTACACCTTCGACTGATGCTGCAAATCCTACCACAGCATAAGAAACACCAGGCTGAGCCAGGTCACAGGTCTGCACAACATGTTCTGGCATGAAGTTGAGAAACGAACACCTCTCATCTGATGCATCATCTCGGTGAAGACACGCATGGAGTAGAAAGGGTATTTGAAGTCAGTCAGGCCCGTGTTAAAAACTCAGTTCTGCCACTTACAATTTCTGCGGCCTTAAGCTACTTCTAATGCCTCCGTTTCCTCTTCAGCAAACCGGGGTGATGGTGATTAATGAGGTGGAGTATGACACATAGTACACACCCTAACTGGCAACGATGACCCTGATCCTCATTACCCTCACTCTAACACTGTGTGGTGAAGAAAGGGCCCTCATAAACTCTGAGGGTTATTTCTGAACCCATTTATAATGCTGACTATACAAGAATCTTTTGTATGCATGTGTAAATAAGACATATTGACAAGTCCAAAGGGGAGATACAATGATAGTCATGAAGAAATGGCAATTAGACACAGAAAAGTATCACTGCCTGAGGACTTGAGCAAAGAACAAATGATAAAAGTAGAATTGGGCAGTTTATGCTAAACTCCTATCACATCACCAAAAAAAGAAACACCTGAAGCAAGCTCTTTGTCTCAGACGATTTTAACGAATTCTTCTCTGGCTTCGCCCCAATGACTAGAGGCAGGTAAGGGCAGGTGACACTCTGCAGAAAAAGCCAGGGGCCCCAGCTGGCTTACCTTGGCACAGGCCACAAGCTGGGAGGTGGAGAGGGCGCACTGGGTGGCAGCGGCGATCACTCTGTTCTGCAGGACTGTGTCTGCAGCCACCTGGGCGACGTTCTTTGCCTTTAGTACCAGCATGGCGGCAGCATTGGCAACAGCTTTGGCCAGGCTCATTAAAACATCCTAAGAAAAATAAAAAAAACAAACTAATCATTTGCTTTTTTTTCTAATTATCCTTCACAGCCTGAAAATGTGGTGTCTACTTGACCATTCTATTGTTCTCTTTGACCTTTTTCCTTCAGTACTTGAGAATAATTTTTTCCATTTATTTTCCTGAAGTGTCAACTTATCTTTTGAGCTAACTAAGGAAGGAGACTCACATCTTAACAACTTAGCCTCCTGTACATTAAGTAGCATAGGTTTAAATCTAAAATAGGCTAATTTGAGGAAATAGTTTTTACTTTAATCACTGATTCACATTCATGCACTTATCCAATACCGAGAGTCCTGACCATGTCTCTTGAATGTGGTTGATATGGTGGATCAGAAGAAGCTGAAAATGTATCCAGATACCACAAATACTATGCAAGTTATGGCCCACTACGACTTGAAAATTTATCTTTTGGTTTTCTACTTTGCACAAGGACCCAAATGATCACCGCAAATTCAGTCACATCTTTGCCTCCAGAGGGCAACGTCGGACATGCACAGAAACCACCTACGTCTCAAGAGCTAAGGAATGCTCTGAACGTGTGTTGTGTAGTCTCCTGCACAGGGATTAAATTGTTATAAAAAATGGGAAGGGAGCCTACATAAATAAACTAGCTATAAGCTGTGACCTCAGCAAAGATGTGAGGAACTTTGAGCCTTTAAAGATCAGTTTATGCTTCAACTCAACAAAAGGCATTCTGCTTGCAGAATGGAGAATCCTTTGATTCTGCCCACCAGTTTTTTCACTCATCTGTGTGAACTGAAGAATAACCATTGTTACTTTTCATTTACTTGTTTGTTTTTAATACTGAAGGTAGTTTATTTGGTTTGGAAATGCCTTCCCAAACATATGAGCCATTTTCATTTTGAACAAACATGTGAAGGATTTCTTCTAGGACATGTGGTCAGAAGTCTTTATTAATTCATCGGATAATAACGAAAAGCACTTTTTATTCTGAATGCAAAGGGCACCCACAGTCTTTACAACAAGATATCTTATGAGAAGATAAATTGGAAAGACCGTTTAGCCTATGTAATTTTACACAGAGAAAAGACTATATGCTATCCAGGCAAATCAGAAACATCAAGTAAGTGGATTTTAAAATTGACAAAACCAAGCAGTCTTAAAGGAACAATTCAGTCCAGTCTTTATGGGATGTCCAGAGAAAAAACAAAGCCTGAAATTTGAAGATGCCTTTGTGACTGGACTGGCACTTGTTTGCCACACAACTTTTAGCAATTGCTCGCAACACGGCCTTCGAAGTTACAATTCTTGGACACCTATATCTCAGTATTAAATGAAAACACAACTTGAGTGTCACAAATTAGTAAGAAGATTTAGGAAAATAACTTTCCAAAGTGGGTTGTCGTATTTTTTCACTTGATAACGAATCCATCTTTTCACACAGGGACTAAGACTCATGATTGTTCTAAAGTGCTTTGTTAGGCTCATTTATAGAAACTCTAATCCTATTAATTAAAAAAAAATACAGTTAGAAAAAGAATGTGATACTACAGTTATAGATGCTGACAAGGCCTTTGTCAAAGTTTCCAACAAGACCACTATTATGTAGCCCGTGTAAAATAAATCTTTGTTAAGTCTGGGAACATGCAGTACATGAAGGACCCAAGAAAAGCTCTAAGATAGGATCTCAAGAATCCGAAAAACAGAGAGTAAGAAATCTAGCGTCAGCAAGCCAAAGCCTGCTCCTGACAAGGGGTTGCGGGATCACCTCACTGTACCGGTGTTTGCCTAGAGACCTCACAGAAACCGAAGTCAGGCCTTTTCCTCGTAAGAAAGCCCCCTGAACCTGAACTGCTGCCCTACCATGTCTGAATGGAAACAAACATTAGAAAGCAGAAAGTTTGCATTTATACGTGATGAAAACACTTGAAGAAAAAAATAAAGGCAAAGTCTGCAAACATACGAGGATGTGTGAGATGTCGTAGGGAAGAATTGTGACTTTTCCTTCAAGTTTCCCAAACACTTTAGGGAAAGCAATATATTTTTAAGGAAAGTAAATTGACCACTTGAGAATGATAAAGTCTAGTAAACCAACATATTTACACAGTTCATAAGTAGGTAACTGCCTACAAAGAATTACCTGCTTCAATACAAAAAGCAAAGGCCAGTTTAGGGATCTGCTAAGGAGAAGTAAGGAGGGACACAATTAGTGAAATATATTTGGATTTAGTGAAACATATTTATGTGGTCTGCAGTTAATTCTCTTTATAATTATAACTGGCCATCTCAGCATAGAAATGGCTTCCAGGATACTAAATTATGGATCTCACACTCATCCTGTCTTGAATAGTCAAGCACCGGATGTTTTACCGCATTGCAGAATATGAATGAGTCCTGTGGCCTCAGCACCATAGGTATGTGGAAAGTAGAGGAGAAACAAATACACCTGTGGATGAAGGTGCATGTTTCATGTAGTACAACGTACACGATCCTTTCTTAGTGTAAGTGATGCATGCTATGTTAATGAAGTTTAGTAGTTCTAGATAAAATGGCACGAAACTGCCACCCATGAAGCAAGAAACTTAAAAAGCCGAATGATATTTTTATTCTGAATTCTACAGAATTCCCAAACAGTGCATATAACATAGGATTTGGAAAAAGGGCATATTCCAGAGAACCAGGCGCAGACTATAATCATTTAATTAGAATGTATTGATATATTACTTGCAAAATTAGAACTTAAGAGGAGGAGAAGGAGGAGTGAAGGGTTTCTGCCTGCAAGTATGTGAGAAGAGAAGCTCATCCTAGCCTGAAGCTCTTAACAGCAGGCCTCGGCACCTCTTCTGTGGTGGCTGGCAACAGAGGCAGACAAATTGAGGTCTTGTCTGAGCTAGCGGTGCATCAAGCTACCTGCAAGCAGCGGCTACAGCTGTCTGTCAGAGGACAAAGAGCACATGTCCTTGGTATTGAAAAAGAAGGATGACAAAAAAAGACTTCACCACATTTGTGACTTTAGATGACACAGACAATAGACCCACCTCTGAATGCAAAGGAAAGCCTTTGCTGTGTGTAAGTGCAATGCATGAGAGTGCACGCATTTCCACTTTTATATATGAACTCCCCAATGATGCAATTAAAACTGCCCCTGAATAGAGAAAATAAGATTGGCCATGAGTTTATCACTATAAAGTTTGGGTGGTAGAAACAAGGGGTTCATGACATTACTCCCTCTACTTTTGTGTTTAAAGAAATGTCCAGTGTATTAACCAGTGAGAATAGCTAAATAAGTGTTTTATGATAAAAGTAAAATGAGTTTTTCAGTTATAAAAATTTTTTAATTAACACACAAAGACCTCACCCACCAGATAATCTACCTCAAACTTATTCTTGATAGCACAAGGAAGGTTTGGTTTTACATTCCGTTCTCCTAGTTGGGTCTAGACCATCACTTAGGCTCCTTCCCAAGATTATGAGCTGCAAATATCTTACTTGGAATCGCTCATCAGTCTCATTCTCTCCGATCTGTCTCAGAAGGTCCCCACTGGCCTGTCCAATGCTTCCAGCGGCGGTCAAAACTGTCTGCCGAGGCTAAGAACAAAGAGCACACACTGGTTGGAAAGAAAATGCACTCCCTCCATGGTGCCAATAGACATGGCAGTGCAGAGAGAGGAATCTGGTGTGACTGGCTCCTCCTGCACCTAAACGAGAGTCTCCGACTACCTTCCAGACAGGAGACATAAGCGTCCTGGTGACATCTGTGTAAGGAAATGCCTCATGTCTTAAAAACCAGCAATAGGTGGATAGATTTGAAATGTTCAACTAATGAATCTCATTCAGTTGGTAGGAAGGTGATACATGTTTTCTGGAAATTAAGGGGCAAAACTTGCATCCCTTTTAAAGGTTTTTGACATATGTGTTAATATCTGAGGTTTCACCTTATCAAATTTGGGGAGCAAGGAGAAGGAAAGTTTCCTACTAAGAGCTCAACTAGTGTTGAAGGTTGAACCACAGATTCTCTAAACTCTGCAGCGTGGGAACATGCCCCACCAAGATGGAAGGAACGGCTCAAAAGCTGCACCTGTCTCATCAGAATCTGAGTCACTGCTTGTCCCAAGAGCTCACCTCTCCAGAAGTAGGCTGTACGGCTTTCAGCAAGTCCGACACTGCCCCAGCGAGGGTCCTTGCAGCTCTGAGCAGGTCCTCCCCACTGCCCACTTCATCATCCATGAGGGCCGCCAACAGTTTCACACCCTTGGACATCTCCGTCAGGTTGGAAGAAATGGTGGTGATTGCACATCCCACAGCTGTGTAGTCAGTGTCTGCAGGGTCACCTGGGACAGAGAGAAGCCATCTCCATCAAAGGAGAGTGGTGAAGGGGGAGGAGAGCCCAGGTGGGCAGGAGGTAAATAGCCACATTGCAGCAGCTTGTCACCCACCACTCTGTAGGAGTCAGACACAAAGCACGGCATGCTCACGGTGAGGTGAATAGCATTCTGTCTCCAAGGTGCTGCTCTCCACAGGGTCCTTTCTCCCTGAGGCCTCCTACATTGAAATACTGAGCACAAGCACCTTTAAAATTCCAAAGGAAGTCTCAGCATCTCACGGCCCTTTTTGTTAGGCCACTGTCAGCAACTTAGGAAGGTCAGCTCTGCTCCTGAAACATTGTAATGCTGTACATTGAAGCCAAGATATTTCCTGGCTCTTACTTGACAGTGCAAGGTGGAGAGTCATGCTGTGCCAGGAGACACTACTGCTGGACAAGACAGAAGAAGGCACACATGACAGATCTAGTCTTTCAAACCATTTTCAGATTGTAAGCTCCCAGAAGGGAGAAACTAGCCTCAATACACTTTGAAGTATGTCCAACCTACTGATAAACAATGAGAAGAGCTTTTTAATGATGATGCATGATATAGACACAATGAAATGTGTTCCCCACATTTCTTCTTGGTCAGTGGGAGAAAATGCCTGAAGTATTTGGGGTACCTAAAAATAGACTGTCATCTCATAATATGAAAATCTGTTTCAATCAAAGAACATTTTTTTTTTTTTTAAACCACAACACACCACAAACACAACCCCCTCAGGGTCTTACCGGCAGTGAGGTTAACAACTGAAGCTGTTCCAGCTGTGATGGCATCCACTTGAGAGTGAATTTCATGTTTGGATTCGTCGACTTTATTCTGAACCCATACCCTAGACGCCTGGAAAACCAGACAACTGTGTGACACAATCATTGCACAGAATAACCTAGGAAACCAGAGAAGTTGTGCCAGAAAATGAGACCAGTATTTTGGCTACACTCTTCTTACTGGGCCAGCACCAAGGAGGCCCTTAAATCGTCTTAAACAATGTCCTTAACAGGCCTCTCGCTCATTTATTGGTACAGAATGGTATGAAAATTCTCAGTTTCTCAAATTGGTTACTTTTTTTTTTTTTTATTAACTTTAAGACCTTAGAGAAAAATTCTATGTGGTTTTATTCAGGTAAATTCAATAAAAACATGAGAATATTTGATGTCTCATGATATCGCACATCAGCACTAAAATTGGTGCGAATTTCATCTTGTTTTTAGAGAACAAGTTTAGAATGAGGGTGTTTCAGCCCAAGAATGTTCTCTGTCAGTGCGGGAGTGTCTTCAGTTCACATGAATGTTGTGGCACTTTTTACGGGGATTGTGTTCCAGTCAAGATCCCTGTTCTGAATCCAGCTCTGCCTCTAACAAGGGACATGATCTTGGGCAAATTACATCTGTGTCCTGTGCCTTGCATTTCTTCTACTGAAGGAATTCAGTGGTGTTTAATAGTCTTTCCAGCTCTTATACTTTATGTTCGTTTGAACCTATAAATAGCAAATTCTCTATTTTCTAGCATTTCTGAACTTAGCCAATAAATGATCATTTACATCAATAATGGCAACCCTGGGGTAATAGAAGGTGCTGATTTGCTTCGTAAAACATTCCAAAAAAATATTGGCTCAGGCCCTCCAGCTGGTTTTGATACATCTAGGCTCAGGATGTGTCTAGCACTTATAATAATTTTTGTATACCAATTCTTTGAAACTTGGTGAAACAGAAACATGAAAAACAAACATTTCAAAACTCTATCTTACAATTGTGTTGGATTTGGGTGTCTGCCATATGTATTTCCACCGTGAAGTTCCCCCGAAGCAAATAGTAAATGATTTTGAGTACTTGGGAGAAATAGCACTAAGGGTAGCAGCACCCTACATCTATACAAGTACACAAACAAACAACACAGTGTTCAGGGAAAACTCAGAGGAGTTAATCCTAGATGGATAAGATGACATCACAAATTATATTTTGGTATTGGACCCTATTGAGGGTCTTGTCAGTCCTAAACAGTGGTTTTCAACTCTGGCTGCCCATATAATCACCTGGGAAGGTGAAGAAGCACTGATACCCAGTTTCCATCCCCAGCGACAGAGCTTTATTTGATTTGAGCCCTAAGGCCTTAGGTTTTGTCCTAAATACTCCTCGGGTTACTCTAATACACAAAGTGCGACTGAGAATAATAGTGCTAGCCAGTGCTTCCCAAACTTTAATGTGTACACAAAACAGCAGAGAATTTCACTAAAATGCAGATTCTGATTCAGAGGTTTGGGATAAGCCTTAAGATTCTACACCTCTCACAAGATCCTAAGTGTTGACACTGCTGATGGCCATGGACCACGATGTGTGCTGCAAGGGGCTATGTGATTTTATGTAGCAACAGCTACAGGAAGGCAGCTAATTATCTTGCCCTCCTAAGAGCTTAAAAGTAGTAACCCAGTGTTTCTCAAAGCACAGTGCCCAAAAACACAGCAACAGCATCACCAGAGAACTTGTTAGAAATGCAAAATCTCAGGCCCCACCAGAACTACTGAGTCAGAAAAAATGCAGGAGAGTCCCAGCAATTGCTTTAACAAGCCCTCTAGGTGATTTTGATGCACGTTGAAGTTTGAGAATCAATGCTAATAACAAAAAACAGCTAATACTCATTGAGCTCTCACCATATGTTAGGTACTGTGCTAAAAACTCTGTGCATGACTGTAGAGTCTTCACAACCACACTACTCACAGATGACAAAATGGAGGCTTAGAGAAACTTGCCCAGATATTCACAGCCACTGAGCAGTGGAGCTGGGATGTAAGCCCACATGATGTGACTCTAGAGTCCAAGTTCTTAGTCCTTGCCAGGTATTGCCAATAGCCAGTATCACCCCATGATTCTCTCCTGTGGCTATAACCTGGAGTAGGGTTCCTCAGTCCCTGGGCCATGGACCGGTACTGGTCTGTGGCTGTTAGGAACTGGGCCACACAGCAGGAGGTGAGCAGCAGGCTAGTGAGCGAACTTTCATCTGTATTTGCAGCCGCCCCCCAGCGCTAGCATCACCGCCTCAGCTCCACCTCAGATCATTAGGCAGTAGATTCTCATAGGAGCACCATTCCCTGGTACTAAAAAGGTTGGAAACCTCTAATCTAGAGACAAAGACTCATCTTGAAAAAGACATGGGTTTCGACTTCACCTAGCTGAAGACAGAGATTCACCTGACTGAATTCAGACAGAGTGCATAACCTTGTTTTCTGTCAGGGCAGAGACAGTGAATGAAAACCATGAACAATATTTACCATATCCTGGCCAAGAGGCGGCAATGAGTCAAGCTCACTGAGGTCATCCTGGGCCTGCTGGACCGCGTGCATGCTTGTGTTGATGGTCCCCATGAGGGCCTGCTGGGCAGAGGTCTGCAAAGGTACAGGTATATAAGGCAGTCATAACATGCTCCTGGTACCAACAAAGCCCTCCACACAAAACAAGGTTAAACTGAACTCTGGCTCAGAAAGTGGACCAGGGTACATCTCAACAACTGCCCGAACCACCTCTCATTGGAGAACTTAATTAACTGACAAGTAGGCTCGTAAAGAATACTTGCAGGGTAGCTAAGGAGAACCAATTCTTGAGTACTGAGGACAAAAAGATCTCAGGCATGGGAAATGCGTGCATTATACTAGCATTCTTCATAAATAAGTAAGGATTCCACCCAAACCTACAGCCAACATGCTTCTTCAGTTAAATTACTTCTGAGCTTTCAGGCTCTTCACCTTTCAAACGGTTCTTGCCCAATAGTACAGGATCCCTGACTAGAATTGAGAGAGGCATGGCATCAGAGAGACCATTACAGTGGACGGGACCAATGAGCCACTCAGGGGAGAGTGTGGCTCACTACAGACCTGGTCTGTTTCTAAGAGGTGTATCTGGGCTAATTAGCAGCTTGATGCTGCTAGGGCAGGGAAGCAGGTTTCTACTTCTGAATCACCAGTCACAAGGAGAGGTCCCTGTTTCTCTTCCAGCTCCAGAGGCCAACTGTGATCCTAGACAGGGAGCTACCAGAACCATCCAATTAAAAGAAAGCACGCTGGGAGTTAAGCATCAGGACAGCTCAGCTCAAGAGCCATGGTTGAGACAGATGCTAGCAAGAGTGTAGATGACACACAATCCATCCCCATGGCTGGTGTCCCTCCCTGCACACCAGACGCATCATACTGACGTGCAGAGCGAGTGCTCAGAAGCCTCACCAGGGGGGGCATGTGGCCTCGGTGCATCTGCCCAACCATGACCTGCTGCTGCGGTGAGGGCATGCTGCCAACGTTGAAGGTCTCGGGCCCGCTGGAGCCCGAGCGCATCACAGCCGGCAGTGCCACCGAGCCGTGCTCCACCTTCCCGGTCCTGTTGAACTGCTGCTGCAAGATGGTGGACCTGCAGGAAACAAGTGATTTGGTCACTGAGGTGGCTGCTCACATGGAGTATCATGAGAAGACACCATAGGTGTCATGAATGTTTGCTGCTTTGTGCTGTGGAGGTCAGTTTAAGAGATGAATGTACAAGAAGAATTATGAATAAAGATACAGCACTAAAATGCTCAGTAGAATACTGAGGTGAATTTTTTTACAATATTAATATAAATAACCACTCCCAATGTATTTAATAGTCACGATATTGTGCAGTTAGTTGTTAGAAACACACACACACACACACACACACACACAATGCAGTTAGTTGTTCTTAGAAACACACACACACACAGAGATATTCCTATAAAAATAATGTTCCAGGTATAAGTGAAAGTTTTGGATACACTGATCTATAAAAATAATATTCCAGGTATAAGTGAAAGTTTTGGATACACTGATCTATCATTATCGGTAAATCCTACCTGAAATAGATTCATTCAATAAATAATCTACTGTGTGCTAGGTTCTATTCTAGGTATTGGGGACATAAATAATTTATTCTTAGCTTGAAAGAAGTGTGGAAATGAACTCAAAGAAAATCTCCTATAGCATAGTTCCTGTCCAGCAGGTCCAAGGCCACTGACCATGCAGGATGTTTAAACACCTTTGGAACCTTGACGATGGGCCAGACTTTGGCACTTCTAGACGATTTCAACTTAAGTCTGAAAAGACTCATGGGCATCTAGTAGAAAAAAAATTAATTTTTACTTCTTGATATTTTCTTTGAAAGAAGGGTAAGGGCAAAGGACTTTGAACATATGAAGTTAAGAAGTCTGAGGTGGCATATTTGCCTCAGTAGCCCAGTGGTCAAACCCATAGGGAGAGTCTGGGGGAATCTGCATGCATGTAGGGGAGGGGGCATTATGGGGCATGGGCTTCTGTCTCAGGGTTTTCGAACTATCATAGATCACTCTCTATCGTCCAGGACAAATCTCGTGAGCCATGCCAAGGCACAAAGCAACAGACATCCATGAAGAGTCATCATTGTCTATGGAGGGGGTGATACTAGGGAGATGATATTGATCTGTGGCTCCTGTAGGAGGTCAGCTGTGTGCTGAGATCTCAGCCAAAGTCTAATACAGGGAAAGTGGAAGGTGTGGTGAAGGGGACTACCCTGGACCACTCTTCTTGTTTGCCTGGATCAGACCCCACCCTGATGCCTTAGGCAGTGGGAGGGAGTTAAGGTGGCCCTAGTCAGGGGAAGTCCCAGATACTTAGCTCTTCCTAGGTGAGGTACTGTGCAGTGAAATACTCTGAAGTGAATGCCTCACTCTGTCAGGAGGCACTAGCTTACTAATTTCTATCTAATGGTCATTAATAATTCCAAGAAGTTAAGGTGTTTTGCCAGAGGTAGCAAGTACGGTACTTGAAATGTGTCACATCAAATTTGGTTCCAATTTGTGTACTAATAGGGGATAAATGGAAAAACACCTTCAAGGTGATTTTGAAGCAAATTGTTAGAAAATGGCACAGAGTGACAATGTGAGAGAAACAATTACTATGATTAAGCAAGTTCAAATGCTGGGAAATCTAGAGCTTTCTGGCAGCGTGTTATAGGAAATATCACGAGATTTGAATCTGAGTCCTGGCTCTGCCACAATAATGCACCTCAACTAACTTTCATGAGTTTCAGTTTCCTCACCCATGAACGGGGATGACAATATCTAGGTACCTCTTTCATAGAGGGTTGTTGTTGGGACCAAATGAGACAGCATGTTGGAGACGCACAGTAAAGACAATACAAGTTATTATTACAAGGCTCTATTTAACATAAAGGGAGAGGCTGCTCAGGTTTTGATTCAAATATCACTTATTAGATGTTACTTAATTTTAATAAATCTCAGTTTCCTTATCTATAAAATGGGACTAAATTGAGGAGGTTCCAAATTTAAAATAACAATAGCAAATATTTATTATGTGCCAGATATTGCTTTATGTGCTTTATTAGTAAGTCAATCATAAAAATACAACTCTTAAGGAGGTATTATTATTTCCATTTTATAGATGAGATTGAGAGGGAAGAGAAATTCAGAACGGCCACAAAACCACACATTAAAAAACAGCCCCCAGATTCGAACCCAAAGTTTGGCTCCAGAGTCCATGTTCTTAACCACTTGCCTCAGCTGCGTTATAATATGTGTATCAAGTATGGCACGTAGCAAGTGGCCCATAAACAAAAACTCCACTGGCTAGATCTCTGCCTCCAAAGGGACAGAATCAAACAGAAGCTCACTCTCCAGCCCTTTGATTAAAATGATGCAGTTTAGGAAATTTAAATCAGAAACGCAGAATAGGATTCATGAATGTTCACCGCCTCTAATGATGGAGTTAAACACATATTGTTCAGTGTCTCCCTGAAATTCTCAGTCCCTCCTCCCCAGACACCTTGAACACCAGTGCTGACAGTCTGGGACCACACTTCAAAAAGTGAGACTCATCTACATCATCCACGATCATCTCCTCCACATGAGGGACTTTAGAGCAACAGGCCCCAGAGCTGGCAGGAGGACACTGGCCCATGGAGGGAGGAGGCAGTTCTTTAGCGCTCTTAACAATACTTACTTTTTTGGGGAAACGGACTCTTCCAACATAGTTGATTCCTCATCACCCTCTAGTCCAAATCTATCTTTACTTTGTTTCTGAAAGTAATTTATGACCAAAAATGAAAATTGGCAGGTATTTACACAAGAACCTTTTAAAAAATGCTACACAAGCAAAAATGTTGAGGTTTACACTACATTTCTTATACTGGATATTTAATAAGTGATGATAAACAAAGCAATAATCACAATAAAAAAGAAATACATTATTTAATAATGTCTTCTGCATTTATTATTGCACAGATCTAATTTTATGTAGTTAAAATCAAGATACAAGTATTAATATTCTAGTAGAACTTGGTTATTTGAGTGGGCTGTATCTAGAAGCCTTAGAAAACTTCTATATCATTATGGGATATAACCCTATTAAATTTGGGGGGAAAAATTTCAATAACATGAAAAACACAAAGGTCATTTTCCAGACCCTCAATCTGGATTTCTACAGAGACTGAAAAGTATGACATAACTACCGAGAGAGAAAGATGCTGAGGGGTTAGCTAGGTTCATTCATTAGCTAATTACCTGGCAGTCAATGATGCAAATGAGCTGCAGCAAATTCCGAAATTCTCATAGGATCATGAGGTCAAAGACCACGCATGAGCAATCTTAACGTCAAAGATTAAATCAGTGAATAAAGTACTTTAAATAAGGGTTTTCTAAACTGAGTCTTAATAAAGAAGCTTTGCTTTTCCAATTTGCACAGGTACGAAATACCTTTTTGAGGATGATGTCAATGTAGCCTGCAATCAGCTGGGATATTTGCTCTCCCTCAGTGGTTTGTACTGAATAGTAGCTTTCCTGATACTCCCCAAAATCCTGGGGAAAAATAGCATTAGAAGAAATATCAGATATATTAGCAGTTTGAAAGGTGAGGAGGCCCAGGTTCAAGATGGCATGGACTCAACTTTTCCCTTGCTCTTCTCCTTTAAATAAAACTGAATATCCTAAAATTTATTCAACAGACAATGGTAAAAGGGCTCTGAAAGCTAAAAAGGTGGACTGGCTGGGGACCTCAGGACTCGAAGAAACACATCTGGTGAGTTCTTGGGTTTTATTGTATATCCCATTACCTACAAGGTTGGCTGCTGGATAGGCCTGACACTTGGAACCTCCAACAAACAGTTTTTGAAAAGACTCTTCTCTCTAGCCAAAAGATCAGAAGTGTAGAGCCAAACAGAGTTGGGAGTCCTACTCAGCTCCACAGTCTGTGGTAACATTCACTGGCAGCTGCAGAGTGGTGAAAGCCTAGGCCATTCTAGCCCCTGCTCAACAACCCAGGCAGGTAGGTGGTCTGATCCTTTTGTAGCAGGAGTCGCAGTGAAGTCCTGTGTCTCCTTGCCCTCCACTCAGTGGCATAAAGAGACTCAAGTCCGGTGGCTTCCTTCTCCCTCCAAAAGGTCACCCAGAAATAGCAGGTGGCCCACGGAAGTGCCTTCTTCCCTCACTCACAGACAGCACCAACAGAGTTTGAGCAGGAATCCTGGTGGTGTCAAAGGAATAAAGTATCCAGAATAACATTGCAAGAGAAATGAACTGTCACTGCAACTAAAGTCCACGAAAGTAGGCTAAAACTCTACATACTAAACCTACACAAGGTGAGTGTCTGTTAAAATGGAAGATTTAAATAAGATCGAGTCTCTTAACATAACAACCAAAATATCTACAATATAATAAAAAATCAGTATTCATATCAAAAACTAGGACAACTACAATATGAATAAGAGAATCGACTGATGCCAATACTAAGATGAACTGGATATTAGAATTATCTGATAAGTATTTTAAAGTAGCTGTCATAAACAATGTTTCAATAATTAATTATAAATTCTCAAACAAATGAAAAAATAAAAAGATTCAAAAGGAAACATAAGTCATTAAAAAAGACAGAATGAAAATTATAGAATTAAAAAATGAATAACCAAAATAAACTCACAGGATAGACTAGTGTAGCAATGATAGAAGATAGAATTACTAAACTTGAAAACATCAACAGAATTTAGTCAATCAAAACAACAGCAAGGAAACAGACAAAACAAAACAGAGCTTCAGAAATCTGTGGGGCAACAATAAAAGATCTCACATCCATTATCACCAGAATACCAGGAGGAGAGGAGCATGTGAAACAAACAAAAAAGTATTTGAAGAAACACTGGCTGAAAATTTCCATAAATTAGTGAATGACATAAACCTACAAATTCATAAAGCTTAGCAAATCTCAAAGAGAAGAAACTCTATGAAATCCATGACAAGAACTTTTGAAAACTAGAAAGAAAAATCTTTAAAACAGCCATAGAAAAGTGACATCGATAAAACAACATTAGCTATACATAATCTTGAATGACAGAAAGTTCTAATCTGAAACCGTGGAAGCTAAAAAGAAATCGCATGATATTTTTCAAGTGCTAAAAGAAAAAAAACTGTTAATCTCAAATCCTGTATCTGGCAAAATTCTCCTTCATCAATGAAGGGGAAATAAGAACATTTGTAGATAAAGGAAAACTAAAAAAATTTATTCTTCTTACCAGACCTGTCTTAAAAGAATGGCTAGATGACGTTCTCCAAACATAAAGACAGTGGTAACAGAAGAAGGCTAAGAACATTAGAAAGAACAGGATAGATAAAAATAGAAATGTAATGGACTATATCCTTTACCCCATGAGTTTTCTTTAATCATATTTTATGGTTGAAGCAAATTTTGTAACACCATCACATGTGGTGTTTAATGTGTCTGGAATATTTAAACAATGATACTCAAAAAGTAAGGAGTTTAAAGAGACCTAAGTGGAAGTAAGTTTTCTACACTAGAAGTAGTAAAACAATGACACTGATAAGCTGTAATTAATTTCATCTGCATATGGTAATATCTAGAACAATCACTAAGAATACTATACAAAGAGATATGCTCTACAATATTATAAATAAATAAAAATGGAACTCTATAAAAATTGTTCAAGTAACCCACAGGAAGGGAAGAAAAGCAGGAAAAAGAGCAGAGATAAACAGAAAAAATTATAAAATGGTAGACTTAAGCTCTAGCATGTCAATAATTAGTTTAATATACAAATGGTCTAAATATGCTAATTAAAAGAAAACACAATCCGACTCTATGTTCTCTACATGAAACTCATTTCAAATAGGACAATATAGCCAGGCTGAAAGTAAAAAGATGGAAATAGGTATATAATATGCAAACATTAATTTAAAAAGCATGAGTGGCTATATTAATATAAGGTGAAGATTTCAGAGCAAAAAAAAAAAAAAAAAGACCTACAAACTACTAGGGACAAAAGGACGTAACAATAAAACAATTTCTCCATTAAGAAGATAATTTCTCTATCTTAAATGTATAGGAACCAACAACAACACATGAAGTTAAAACTAATAGAGATGAAAGGAGACATAGAAAATCCAGAACTGTTGGGGTCTTCACTTTCAGAAATTAATAGAATTACTAGATGGGAAATTAACAAGGATACAGAAGACTGGAACATCATCATCAACTAATGGACTCTAGCTGGCATTTATAGAACACTTCACTCAATAGCAGAATACACATTCTTTTCAACCACTAATGGAACATTCTCCAAGTCTGCTCATATCCTGGGATATAAACAAATCTTAAAATTCTAAAAGAAGTGAAATCATATACAGTATGTTCTTTGACCATAATACAATTAAACTAAAAATCAATAACAGGCAACAGGAAAATGTGCAAATACTTGGAAATTAAATTTAGGCTAGGAATAGAAAGGAAACAAATATTACACGTTACAGGCTTTAATTCAACTTTATACTTTAATAAAAAATATTTACTTTCTTTTGCTCGAGGTAGTTACTGAGATTCATAACTTTCTTATTTTTTAAATAAATTTTTGTTTTTAACAAAGCAGTACTTGGACCTAATTTTGAAAGACCAATACTATTGAACAGTATATAACAAAATATAACTGTCCCCTGTACTACACATTCCTGCCTTCACTTTCTACCTCCCCCAAGTCCACGACCACCTTCAACCCTTTTAGCAATTTCTCCTAATATTTCTAAATAACATGTTTATATTGATTTCTTGATTTTTCTATTGTAGGAATTATCCACAACTTCCTATAATAGAAGATGAGAATGTAGTTCTCTAAGTATAAACACCCATTGTAAGAGCCACCCAGGTACAGCTGTGACTGACTATAGGAGGAAAGAAAGTATGTTTTCTGAAGATTACTCCCAAGTGGCTTAAGACTATCGATGATTAAATTAGGTGACTACTTATTCTCTCCAAGACCCCTTTCTTATATATTTTTTTTTGATGCCCTATTATGAGATCTTGCCTCAATGCAAGCTGATATTTTAAATGTTCGCTAGAGCTGTGGAATGGTACGTCTCAAAGTTGTGAAGAAATTGACAGATTTTAACATTTTTGATTTCTCTTATTGCCCAACTTGCTTATCAATTCTCATATGTAAGTGTGGCTAAAGTTAAGGGTACGTACAGTTATACTCTGCTAAGAGCAACAGTTGAGGTTGGGAGGAGGAATTCAGAGGTTTGAAGGCCTGGAACAAACACACATTCTCCTTGCTTTCCATATATTTCACACTGGGCATTCCCTCATCACCCTAGAAACTCTGTGAAACAGGTATTGTCATTCGCATTTTATAGCTGAGGGAATTAAGGCTCAGAGAGGAGAGGTATTCAGCCAGGTCATAGAGCTAGGAAATGATAAGCTGGTTTTGAATACTACCCAAAGTCTATGTTATTTCCACTATCACAGCATGCTCTCTTTCTAGGCAGGCTGGGAAAATCACCTCAGCAAGATGTCGCAATTCTTAGGAACTTCTAAAACAATTCGAGATAAAGAGGAAGCCTTTGTATGGGCCTCAGAGCATTAGAAAGTGTCCTCTGAAGGTATGCTAGGGATGGCTTCAGGGACACAGAAGACTGAGAATCATCTCAATCTTCTGGAGTGGCTTTTTCCAGTTGAAGAACTAAGACACACAGACTTAATGCACCAGAGAGGAAGACGTGGCCAAGGAGACCCAGCTTGCCGACAGCTCCCTCACTTCTGGTCCAGTCCCCTTGCCTACCCCATAGACTCCCGCCATCTGTCTCTCTCCACACTGCTAAGGCTAGGGAAGCCCAGTGAGACTGTATTGTTTCTCCTGTCCCACAATATCGCCCAAGGCCATGTGGGCCCCCTCGATGCCCTCTGACAGTGCCTACCAGCGTGAAGCTCTTGGGCGAGGCTGCCCAGCGCTTGACTGTGGTGAGCGGCCACTCCTGCAGCACTTCCTTGGTCTTCTCATCCACGCGCATCACTGAGTCCTTGGTGATTCCCAGCAGGCGAGGCACCAGCTTGTTCTTGCCTTTCATCTTTTCCTGAAACAGCAGATACCAAGGGTCAGTGCTCTTCCTCTGAATGCATCTGATTTTGCCAACCAATTCGTGTTTTTGCAGTTTTACCTGGGATCAACCTATGTACACTGTGTTTCAAAATAAGCAGGACTATGGACTCCAAAAGTCTTTTATGATTAGTTTTCATAATTTTTTAAAGAAATAGTAGTCATGCCTATTAAAAGGAATTGATTCCTACCTGCCACTCAAGCTCAAATAAATTCTAGATAAGTTAATAATTTAGGAAGAACATATAGGAGAATATTTTTGTGATTCCTGGGTGGGAAATGACTTTTTAGCATAGACACCAAAATAAGCCCTAAAGGAAAAGATAATTAGCCTTAAGTACAAAATATATGGAGACTGACACATTTTAAAAAAGAGAGAGAGAAGAAGAAAAAGAAACCTTACCATAAACAGAATTAAAAAGCAAATGACTGGGGAATATTTACAACAAACATGATAATAAAAAATGTCATACTGTATATGTGAAAGGTCTCGTAAATCAACAAAAATAACTAGCAAAGAACTTAACAGAAATGTATTTAAAATGATAAAGTAATTAGATAATAATAAGCAGTTCAGTAGGTTTTCATGTTTAGAAAATAGTAGTTTTTTTTAAAACTGATACTCACAACTGAAGAAGGTATTAAGGGGAACCATTGTTGATGGGAAATTAAAATGACAAAGCTTTTGTGGAATTAAATGTCCAATAATGATTGAAAGCTTTAGAAGTGTTTATTTTTGACACACCTTGCTTTTAGAAACATTCAAAAAAGTTACAAATGGATGTGAAAATTATACTACAAGAAGGTGCAACTAGAGTTTGTTGTAGAAAAACTAGAAATAACCAAATATTAAATAACAGGAAATTTGATAACTAAGTTATGGTATATCCAAATGCAGACTACTTGAAACTACTAAAAATCATATTATAGGAAAACAATCAGATTCATGGCAATAACAGTATTATTATAATATTAAAAAATGAAAGTTTGTACAGCATAATCCTACATGAAATAAAATTTTAAACATTAATTTTTAAATTTAAAATATTAAAACAAAATTAAAAAATAAAATTTCATTACATGATAAAATGGTAACAATGATCACCTCAAATGATTTGTAACATTTCCTTGTCCTTTTCCTTGTTCCCAAAATTTCATTTACTACACATCTATTTCTATTGTTGTCAGAGAAAAAATGAAAAAATTTCAAATAATATTTGCTGAAACCTAGCAATGCTTATGGCACCACTCTCCAAGGAATCCATGTATAAGTTAGCATGCACAAAGTATGTGTATAAGTGGGTATGTATACAAAGGAACAGGTACTTAAAACAGGGCAGGAGTGTGCTGCATACTAATAAATATTTTCTATTAATTTTCAAAGCATCCCCTAAACGTTGGTAATCATCATCATCATCTCCATTTTGAAGCGACCAGCAACGCTCCCAAAGCGGAGAGTAGTGAGTTGTAAGGCCACGATTAGAACACAAATTTGAGCTCAAAAACATCTCTGATTTCAGAAACAGACTGTCTACCACAGTGAACTTCTTTTAGTGGAAGCAATTAGAAAAAATGAAAAAAAAAATCTCCTCTCAACTCCCCCCACGGCAGTTCATAAATTGTCAGATGCTAAGGTACCAGCACACTTCCAGCTTCCTCTCCGGAAAAGGAGACAACAGCATCGGGAACCTGTGTGGGTATCTGAGGAGGGGAACATGGCACTGTAACAATCTCCTAGTCCTTACAAAGAACAGTGAGTCAGATTCTTTGTGAAGAGAGGCCGGTTCCACAAGGGGCGAAATCAATATAGGTGGATGATGCCAGTTAGTCTAATTTGGCTTCAAGAGCCACATAGAGACAGACGGAGAGACTCGAGGCAGCCAGTTTAGTCATACAGGTTTGGCACCAGCCCAGCTGCTGGGACCAGGAAGGAGATCAGTGATAAAATATGGTTTGCAGCTGTTGCCTTCCTTCCTTCCCATCTGCACCTCCCCAGTGAGAAGCTTTGGGGTGAGGGATTGCCCCGACTCCAGTGGAGATCAATCTGGCCTGGGAGAGGAAGCCACGGTGAAAAAGCAAAGGACTTACAGTGGGCATTTCATTAAAAGGTCACAATTGGGGGGCAGAGTTGGAGGGTATATAAGGAACTCAGAAAATACTGTAACTCGACAGCAGAGACCACCATCAAAGGACAAAATTATTTCAGCACCTACCCCTAAAAAATGCAGATTAGCTGGAGAAACTTCAAAGAGCGGATGGTGCAGCTCTTATTTCTTTCATGGCAGAAAGGGATGGCTGTTTAAGAGCAAAACTGTGTTAAAGTTCCTATCTATTATCCATCTTTTTCTAAAAGCAGTTGGCAACTCATGATTCTGAGATGCTCTAAATGCCCTCTGTGATGCTTTTACAGTTCAGGGGAGAATAAGGTCAGCTCCCCAGGTACCTCACCTCAAGGCTCTAATTGTGGCTACAGAGAAAGTTCAAAGGGAAATTTAGAAGTAAAAAAGTTTATACAGAATTTTTTGGAATGCAACAAGATCCTCTGCAGGTCACGGAAGCTGCCTTACCACTGCTTATGGGTTTTGATTAGCAGATTATAAGATGCAGAAGTCAATAAAAGGAAAACTGGACATTTATAACTACCATTTATAGAGCTCTTACATGCAACAGTCCTCTTTTCTAAATTATCTCATTTAAACCTCATTAAAAGTCACAATTATACAGGTGAGCAAACAGGCTTAGAGATGGAAGGTAAAGTAAGTTATCCAATGTTAAACCAACTGGCAAAGGCAGAATCTAAACTCATATTTTTCTTTTCAAAGCATATGTCCCTAGCCACTGAGAATACTGCCACATAATGCTATTCCCTGTGGATTCATTATAGGGCTTACAGACATTCTCTGTATCTGGGTCAGCAAACTAGCCAGTGCTAAATCAAGCTTTTTGCCCATTTTTTAATGGCATGAGAGCTAAGAGTGAATTTTTAAATGGTTGAATAAAAGAAAAAGAGGAATAATATTTTGAGAGATGTGAAAATTATATGAGATTTAAATTTCAGAGCCCATAAATCAAGCTTCACAGCAACATAAGCACACTTTCATTTACATAATGCCTACAGCTGCTTTCACACTACAAGGGCAGAGCTGAGTGGTATGGCTGGCAAAGCCTAAGATATTTACTATTGGTCCCTTTACTAAAAATGTTTGTCAACCCCTGCTAGAGGTCATGGACACTAAGAGCCAATTAAAAGTTGAAAAGACTCAAGAGCCAGAGATTAGGAAGGTATGGGAAGAGTTAAGGGGCTGGGCTAACCTAAAATTTATCAAATATTCTTACCCTCCAGGTACTACACTTGTTTTCATACATTAGTTCACTTAATCTTCATTAGGGCTCTGTAAGAAATTATCGTTACCATTTTCCAGATGAAGAAACTGAGATTTAGGGAGGCTAGGTATGTCTCTCTAGGTCATACGTGTTTCTGCTATTTCTCAAACAGGTGTATATTGCCATCCTGGATTCTCGGTCAATCTTCCTGACTTCAACACCCGAGCACTTTCTATTATAACAATATAATGTATAACACTGAATGTTAGGACAAAATGTACATAAATATAGAAGAAAATATGATGGAATACTATCCGGCAATAAAAGGGATGGACAATTGATATACGTTATGACTTGGATGGATCTCAAGGGAATTATACTAAGTGAAAATGTGAATCCCAAAAGGTTACATATTGCATGATTCCATTTATAAGCATTCTTTTTTTTTTTGTTTTCTTTTTTCAGTTATAGTTGACACACAATATTAGTTTCAAGCATACAACACAGCAATTACATATTTATATATCTTACAAAGTCATCACCCTGATAAATCTAGTACCCATCTGATACCATAGTTATTACAATAGTACTGACTATATTCCCCATCCTATAGTCTACATCTCTATGACTATTTTGTAACTACCAATTTGTACCCCTGAATCCCTTTTCCCCCTTCACCCATCCTCCCACTCCCTAATCTAACAACTATCAAAATGTATAGGGCATTCTTGAAATAAAATTGTTGAGATGAACAACAGATCAGTAGTTGCCAAAGGTTAAGGGCCATGGGAAGGGAGTAGGAGGTGGGGAGAAGCAGGAAAAGACAAGTGTTCATGGCCATACCAGGGTAGCACAAGGGATCCTTTTGGTGATGGAACAGAGTTCTATATTTGGCTATGGTAGTGGTTACATGAATCGATGTGATAAAATTTCACAAAACACACACACACAATTGAGTACATGTAAAACATGAAATCTGAGCAAGATCTGTGGATTGCATAAATGTAGATTTCCTGATTGTGGTATTATACTATAGTTACCATTGGGGGAAACTTGATGGAAGGTACAGGAGACTTCTCTGTATATTTTTTAACATCTTTATTGAGATATAATTCACATACCATACAATTCACCCAGTTAAAATATATGATTCAGTGGATTTTGGTATATTTACAGTTCTGTGCAACTATCACAACAGTCAACATAAGAACATTTTCATCACCTCAAAATAAAAAAAAAAATCCTGTACCTTTAGCTATCACTCTCCTATCCCCTTCCACTCCACCTCATTCCCAAGCAACTTTCTGTCTCTATACATTTGCCTATTCTGGACATTTCATATTAGTGGAATGATATTGTATATGGTATTTTGTGATGAGTTACTTTCACTTAGCATAATGTTTACAAAGTTACTCATTGTGTAGCGTGGGTCAGTACACGTCATTTCTTTTGGCCAAATGATATTGCACTGTATGGACATACCACACATTGTTCATTCATGTATCAGCTGATGAACGCTTGGGTTGTTTCCACCTTTGGGCTGAACACTGCTATAAACATTCATGGACAACATTTTTTTGTGAACGTGTGCCTTGAATTCTCTTTGGTATATACACCTAGGAGTGAAACTGTTAGGTCATATGATATTCCTATGTTTAATCACTTGAGAAACTTACAGACCATTTTCTAAAGAGTCTGCACCATTTTACATTTCAGCCAGCAGGGTAGGAGGGCTCCAATTTCTTTATGTTCTCATCCACAATCCAGTAATTATCTGACTTTTTGATTCTCTGCATTTTTACAACTTCCTGTGAATCTATAAATATTTCAAATAGTTTAAAAAAATGACTGTGTATCTTATTATTAAGTATCATAGCAATAAATAATTTTGTTCATTCATTTCCTACGTATACTTAAAATTTTTTTTTTAAAATATCTTACTGCATTTTCCAGAACTTCCAAAGCAATGTTGAAGGTTAAGAGGATGTTAAAGGGTAACTTGTTCTGATGCCAATTTTTATAGGTTTCTCGCTAGCATTTCTCTATTAAGTAGGATATTGACATTAGGTTTGAAATATTGTCATGTTGAAGTACACTTATATTCTAGCATTTTAAAGAAAAGTTTTTAAAAGAATGGGTGCTGAATTTTATCAAACACCTCAGTGGCTTTATATAAAATGATTATGCGAAGCCATCTTTTTCCCCCCAGCTTTACTGAAATATAATTGAAATATAATATTTGAAAGTTTATGGTATACAATGTAATGATTTGATATACGTCTATATTGCAAAATCATTATCACAATGAGGTTAGTTATATCCTTCATCTCATATAATTAGCATTTTTGTTATTACACTGAGAACATTTAAGATTTACTCTCTCAGCGACTTTCAAGCATATAATGCAGTATTGTTAACTATAGTCACCATGCTGTACATTAGATCCCCAGAACTCATTCCTCTTATAACTAAAAGTTTCTACCCTCTGATCAACATCTCATTTTCCCCACCCCAGCCCCTGGCAACCACCGATCTACTCTGTTTCTATGATTTCAGCTTTTAAAAATTCCACATATAAGTAGGATCATGAAGTATTTGTCTGACTTATTTCACTTGACATAATGCCCTCCAGGTTCATCCATGTTTTGCAAATGGCAGGGTTTCCTTTTCTATGACTGAATATTACTATATATGATATACATAATAAGCACACACACATTTTTATTTGTTTGTTGATGGATACTTAGGTTGTTTCCATATCTTGGCTAGTATGAATAATGCTGTAAGAAACATGAGGGTGAGGATATGTCTTTGAGACAGTGACTTTACTTCTTTTGGATAAATATCCAGAAGTGATTGTACCAACTTACATTTCCACCAACAGTGCATAATGGGCACAAGGGCACCCTTTTCTCCACATCGTCACATTTTTCATCTCTTATCTTTTTGATAATAGCCATTCTAACTAGTGTGAGGCGAAATCTTATTGCGGTTTTGATTTGCATTTCCCTGATGATTAGTGATGATGAGCATCTTTTTATGTTGGCCATTCACATATCTTCTTAGGGAAAACATCTATTCAGGTCCCTTGCCCATTTTTTAATCAAATTGCTTGTTTGCTATTGAGCTGTATGAGTTCCTACATATTTTGCATATTGTTCCTTTATCAGATAGATGGCTTGCAAATATTTTCTCCCATTCTGTAGGCTGTCTTTTCAATTTATTAATGGTTTCTTTCTTGCGCAGAAGCTTTTTAGTTTGATGTAGTCCCACTTGATTTTTGCTTTTGTTGCCTATGCTTTTGATGTCACATCCAAAATACCATTGCCAAGACCACAGTGAAAGAGATTTTCCTTAATGTTTTCTTCCATATATGGGTTCAAGTCTTACAGGTCTTTAAGTCCTTAATCCATTTTTATGAATGGTGTAAGGGTCCAATTTCATTCTTTTGTACGTGAATGTCCAGTTTTTCCAACACCATTTATTGAAGAGACTGTCTTTCTCCATTGTATATTCTTGGCTCCCTTTGTCAAATGTTAGTTGCTGATTTGTATGGGTTTATTTGCAGGTTCTTCATCCTGTTTCATTGGTCTATGCATCTGTTTTTATACTAGTACCATACTGTTTTCGATTACTATAGCTTTGTAATACAGTTTGAAATGAAGTGTGATGCTTTTAGCTTTGTTCTTTCTCGAGATTGCTTTGGCTATTTATTTGAGGTATTCTGCGGTTCCATACAAATTTGAGGGTTTTTAAAAAAAATTTCTTTGAAAAATGCCATTGGAATTTTGATAAGAATTACGTTGAATCTGTATATGGCTTTGGGTAATATGGACATTTTAACAATATTAACTCTTGATTCATGAACATGGGATATCTTTCCATTTATTTGTGTCTTTAATTTCTTCCATCAACATCTTATAGTTTGTCATGTACAGATCTTTCATTTCCTTGGTGAAATTTATTCCTAAGAATTTTATTTATTTATTTTTTTGATGCTATTGTAAATGGGGTTTTCTTTATTTTTTCTCAGATAGTTTATTCTATATGAAGTCATCTTATTAGACCTATTTATCTGATTTACTAGTATCATTAATTTATAACACTGAATTATTCCTAAATTCTCAGCTGTACTAGTCTTAAAATAGGGCAACTATGGCCAAGTAAGATATAGTAAAATCAATTTAAAGATAAAATGTATACTAAATAGGACGATTGAGCAAAGAATTAAAGTGAGCAGTGTTTTCATTTTTATTTTGTGAGAGAAAATAAAAACTAAAATTTGAATATCTAATAAGTACATGAATGTTGTCAGAGCCGCCTATCCCCTTGACCCTGATTTCTCTTCAAAGACATGTAATTTAAAAAAGAGAGAAAGGAGAGAGGAAAGAAGGAAATTTCAATTATTTCTTAAATACTTTTATAACAGAAAAATCTTCATTTGACCAAATCTTCAAGACCCTGTAATAACCAGAACATCTGTGCTCTACCTCAAATTATCCTATTGGCCATGGACAAATTTTTCTCAGGTGCTAAATTGTCTTTTGAGAAGAATTTTTTTTTCTGCAGTTTGCTATTCAATTTCTCTTGCTTCCTAATTACATGTAGTTTGTTGTGTGCTATTTATTTTTCTAAATTTACTTAACTACATGCGCATCACTGAAACGAATTGCATGTGAAATCTGATGATATTAATGGAAAAAGATGTGAACACAACAAATGAATTTCATAAATGAAGGACTAGAAAAAACTCAACAGATGGAAAATGATGCCAATATCAGTGGACATGCTGAAAATTTGTTTAATCTCTGTCCTTATGAGGCGCTGGAATTCATCTGCCACCTGTTGCCCTTCAAAATAATGAATAAAAAGCAGCTTATTCTTCTAAAACAAGCAGATCTCGTTGGGGTGGGGAGCTAGGAAGGTGAATGCAGGTCAAACAAGGTCACCCTAGCTATGGTAGCGTAGCCCAGTGGTTGGGAACACAGGCTTTGGAGTCAGAGAGATCTGACTTCAAGTCCTTTTGGCTCCGGCTGAATCATTTCACCTTCCTGTGTTTCTGTTTTGTCATTTTTAAAAAGAAGTTAATAGTAATAGTTCTACCACTGTGTTGCTGGTAGATATAATGAGAAATGCCTGGCATATAATTATAATATTATTAATATTGGGAAGTAGAGTCATTATTACCTAGAAGGCATCAGCACCATTCAAAAATTCATCGATAGGTTAAAACTCCCACTAAATATAAGAGACTCAACTTCTAAGTTATCTTTCTTAAAAACAAAGTAATTCACCTATGTTTTTTCATTTGCCTGGGTCTGAGATATTCTGGCATAAAATTGAGAGCTATTTGAAGAAAAAGATGGATTAAAATAGAATATGTGGGCTCAGGGTTTGCAAAGGAGAAATGAAGCTAATGGAAGGGTTTATCAGTCAGTAAGAACACATCTATCAAGGGCTTCTCTCTGAAATTCACAGGTTGAGTTTAAAAGTCCTACCTCTTTCGTTTTAGTAGGAAGACAAACAATTTTGATGAAAACAGATCTAAATGCCATGGAAATCCCAAAGTCCATCTTCAAGTATACACAATAAGTTTCATATTTATCACAAGAATTTGATTTGGTCTGCAGTAGTCAACAATCTTCACTTAGTTCAAAGCACCCTTGAGAGACATTCTCAGGAGAAAGTCATACTGAGTAAAAGAGAACACGGCCCTTCAGGAACTTTATAGCAGTGGCAGTGAGCCAAGCCAAGACACAGCTGCCTGTGGAGGGCAGCCAGGCTCACTCACCAGCTTCAGAGCTTATCCTTCATGTCTGGCCCACAGCTAAATGTGGGTCACCATTGTCCAGATGCTATATTTGCAAATTCTAGGCATCTCGGAACAACAAATCAACCTTAAGAGCAAACACTTTAACAAAAGCAAAAGAGGTGGCAGAAGCAAACACCCTCCACTGTGCCCAACTCACCTTCACCAGGAAAAAGGACACACCGTATGTCCGGAGGGACCGAGCAAGTTTGACGTACTTGACTTTGGCTTCTATTTCATTCATCTCTCCACAGTTCTTATGCTCCTGTAAAGTTGATAGGAGCAAGGACCAGTTATTGCAGCTCTGCTAGGAGGTGGACTTGGTGAGAGGTAGTAACTATATGTGGTGCACATATAGTGGCTACAACTGATATTTGTGTAGGGGACCCCTCCATGACACTTGTTCCTGCTAGTGTCAGAGCACACAGAAGGTTGTAATGCAGGGCTTCTTAACTAGAATTTCAGCCCATATTCCTCCAGATTTCACAACTATATGCGACAAATCATGCATTTGCAGTGTGCAGGAACAGGGTCTATAATTGTAATGCAATTTTCAAAAGACTCCATGTCCCAAAAGGTTCAGAACCAACACTTTAAATGAGTGCTAGAAAAATGGTCTTATCTAGGAGAGGCAGCATTCTAACATCCATCCAAAATATGTAGTTTTCCAAAGAGCAATTTTTTTACAAATGCCTGTACATCACAGCACTTAGAAACAATACTGGATAAAAAAATATATGTTTTATACACATGAAACTTATATTTCAACTTACATTTCAACACTAAAGAAGACTTCGAAGTTTTAGATTTACCTGAGTGATTGTTTCATGACAAAGTTGATGATAGAGCTTTTCTTACTGGTTGACTAGAATAGACAACTCTCTAACTCTTACAATAAACCTGGATTTTTAAAAGGTACTAGTTCCCAAATCTTAGCTTCAAAAAGCAAATCTAAGAACAAAGCATCAACTTGTAGCTTCTTCTTCAGTTCATTTCAATGGCAAATCACCTTGTTTTAATGCTACAAAGATAATGCCCTCGAAATTAAATGTGCGCACATTTTTTTTTTTTCCAGAAGAGTTAAGTAACCTTTGGCAAGAAGGTATGGATTAAGATAATAAATCTGCCCAAAGTAGAACTGTCAGCTTCTTTACTCTTGAGCCACTAATCATTTATTATATAAGCAGAGTACATGTACGGGTTACAAAACGATCATGTGCAGAGGCCCATCTCACATTAATAAATGAGGAGAGGGAGTGAGCAGAATAATAAATTTACATTCCCAATACCTGAAATATTCTCTTTTCAGCTCCTCTCTGCTTGATATATTCTTTGGGCAAGAATTCCTTTAAACTGAGAGAGAGAAAGGAAAAAAGTTAAGGCATGCATTATGTTCTATGATGAGAAGACAAGATTTTTTTTGTAAAACAGTTAAGTCATTAACTCTCCCAGTATTTTCTAATATAATTAGTAACAAACTGCCACATCTCACAATGCACTTAAATAGGACACAAATATAAAACCAGTCTGATAAAAAGGGCCAAACTAACATAGTTAAATAAGAAAAACTTCCAGGAAAAATTGTAAAGTGACTGCAAAAGGCACAAGAATGTACAGCGTGTTATCCTTTGTATGAAAGGGAGGAAATACTTTTCATTTTATATTGTTAATATGTATTTTTAAAACAATAGAAGGATATGCCTAGTACTAATAAAAATGATTCTATATGAGAAGAAGGGAAAAACAGAGAGAGAGAGGAACAAGGATGAAAACTAAACCTAAACAAACTAAAACAAACTTAACAGTACGTTAAGTTGACAGCATAACTACAGAGGGAAAAATGACTTCAGGTAACATTAAAACAGTCTTTTCAGTATACATCCCTAGTGAGATATATCTTAAAGATAAAATAGACTACAGTAGACTTGTTAAATATTGATACCATTACTTTAAAATTAACACTCTCCCTTCTCCTATATATATACACACACACTATAAAATTAAGATTTATATAAGCTGTTATACATAATTAAGATAGAGTAATTGTTAGTTGTTAGTAACCAAGGTTTTAGGGGATAAAAGAAATAAAAATATAAAGCAAAAAAAGTTAAAACCCTGCAATCTTTCATTTGATTTCAAAGTACTGACCTGCATATCTGATTCATTTTTCTTTTTTTGAAAAATATATTTTCTAGTTGTGCACTCTTAGGAGGTTAAGGACAAGACAACCTTGTGGCAATAAGCACCCCCAGCATCTTGGCCAGGGGGTCTTTAAATACAATCTCCACTAAAAGAAATCAGAGATCCTTGGAGAAATGACTGCTCTTAGCTCTAGGGCAGGAAATGCATAAAATTTTCCTGGGCTTCTTATGCCTGAGATCAAGGAAGCTAACAAAATGACTGGAGCCAACACCAAGGAATAACCATTGGCCAAAAGAGTACAATTTTTAAAACCTTATACAAAAGAAAAGAGAACAGTATAATGGACCCATAATCCAGCTTAACAATTATAATTCACGACCATTCATGACTTATCTACTCTTTACCCATGTCCCCACCCCTGATGGGGCAATTTGAGAATCAGAAAGAATGATCACTGCAATGGATAAAAACACAGACATATAAAAATCCATAAAGATCCTTTAAAATAGTCATCGATCCCTTTAAGAAGTTGCAAGGGCACTGACTCATATGCAAACCGATAAAAAAAAAAAGAAACGAAGCTGATAAATGCAGAAGAAATAATAGAAGTTAAAAAGCATTATTTTACAACTTTTAATAAGCAATAGATTAAAACAAGCATGAGTAGCTGCTAAAACCAGTAAGTGACATGTTAATGAGTAACTTTACGATATCTGAGTCAGTCTGATCCAAACCCCACTGATCAATTTCAATATTGATAAAAGTGGAATAACCAGACAACATATGCCTCCTGACTGATGCAACAGGAAGTACACAGCAGCACCTGGGAAGTATCCTTTACAATAAATAAAGCATAAGTAAATATATAATTGAAACTCTAAGATCTAAATATTAGTTTACAAAAAAAGAGATAGAAGAACATGGTAAGTAATACCACCAGGATACGATCAGACAAATCTCAACATAGGAAATTCTATAAAAATGACCCAAGTTCCTCACAAATAAATGGCTTGGTAGTAAAGTGAAAGTAACGGATTGAGTTTTAAGAAACAGATCTACTACAAAACTATAGTAACAGTGAAGCACTGACATAAGAATAGACATATAGGTCAATGGAATAGAATTGAGTCCAAAAATTAACCATTTCCTTTATAGTCAATTGATTTTTTTAAAAATTATAGTTAACATAAAATATTATGTTAGTTTCAGGTGTACAATATTGTGATTTGATATTTATATATCTTATGATGTGCTCACCACACTCAGTGTAGTATCCCTCTGCTACCATAACAGATTTTCAACAAGGATTCCAAAACACTTCAGTGTGGGGAGAAAACAGTTTTTGTTAACAAATGGTGCTGAGACAACTGGATATCCACATGTGTAATAATGAAATTGGAACCCCCTTCCTCACACCATACACAAAAATTAACTCAAAATAGATTACAGACCTAAATATAAGAGCTGAAACTATAAAACTCTTAGAATAAAATATAGGAGTAAATCTATATGATCTTGGGTTAGGCAAAGACATTTTAGATAAAACACGAAAAGCATATGAATCAAAAGAAAAAATAGATAAACTGGACTACAAAATTAAACATTTCAAAATGCAAATAATGCCATCGGGAAGTGCAAAGGCTACCCACAGGAGAAAATATTTGCAAATTATATAACTGATAAAGGACTTGTATCCAGAATATATAAAAATGTTTACTACTAAAATAATAAAAAGACAATCCAATATAAAAATAGACAAAGGACTTGGATATTTCTCCAAAAAAGATACGCAAATAGCAAAAAGCACATGAAAACATGGTCAACATCAGTAGCCATCAGGGAAATGCAAAGAAAAAACACATTTCTGGTAGGAATGTAAAATGGTGCAGCTGCTGTTGGAAACAATTTGGTAGTCCCCCAAAATATTAAACAGCAATTATACTTCCACATATCTACCTAGGAAAAATGAAAATATACTACTACATAAACATTTGTATATGAATGATCACGGTATTATTATAATAGCCAAAAAGTGGAAACAACTCAAAGTCTATTAACTGTATAATCTGAAAATGGGTTTATTCATAAAATGCAACATTATTTGGGAAAAAAAAAAAGAATTAAGTATAATACATGCTCCAACATGGAAAATTTGTGCTAAGTGAAAGAGGCCAAGACCACAAATTGTATGACTCTATTTATATGAAAGGTCCAGAATAGGCAAATCTATAGAGACAGTAAAGATTAGTGGTGGCAAAGGCTGGGAATGGGAAACTGGGGAGTGACTGCTAATGGATTGAGATTTTAGGAAGGACAAAAATGTTCTAAAATTAGATTGTGGTGAAGGTTGCACAATCTTGTGAATACACTAAAAACACTAAATTGTACACTTTGAATGGGTGAATTGTATGTTATATAAACTATATCCCAATATAATTGTTTAAAAACTCATATCAACCAAATAGAATATGTAGGCCTTGTTTGGATCCTGAACCAAGTATTTTGTATGACATTGAGACAGTGGGAGAAAACTTAACACAGACTGGGTATTAGATACACACTGAAGATGAATAATAAAGAATTGTTGCTAATTTTGTTGGGTGTTACAATGGATTTGCAGTTGTCTGTTGTAAAAAAAATTTTTTTTTCATAGAAATATACTTAAGTAAAGATGAAATGACATGCTGTCTGAGATTTGCCTTAAAATATTCTAGCATAAAGTAGGAGGGAGGGGGCAGGGCAGGGCAGGTCTAGATTCTAGCTACATTAAGACTTGAATAATGTTGCCTGGTCAATTTGTGAACTACCTCTAGACAAAAGTTTTAAGTACCTTTCCTGGAATTCATGGATCTAGGTCTTAGGACTGGCAGAACACTCTGGCCCTACCAAGAAAGCCCAAGTCTGTCAGAAGGAAGGATCTTAGAAATAGCCAAGCAGCAGCACTGCAGACGTTATAACTATCATAAGCAACTCTGTGGACAAAAATGAATGATTCAGAGAACTGGAAGGCACCCATGTCACAAATGAGGAAGCTGAGTCAAAGAGAGGTAAGGTGACTTAGCTGAGATCACAGGACTTGTTAGTAGCAGGGAGTTTCTGACTTCCCAGACCATGAGCAGATCCACCTAACACAGCTGTTGTAGGCTTCCCCCAGGAGTACACTTAAAATGATAATGATGCAGCATACTGAGTGGACCACTGCTGTGGGCCTCTGAACAGTTACTCCTATGCATTCAAAAAAGAGAGACCTGGTGAAAGTTACCAAAAGCACCCAAAAAAGAGCCCCGTGCCAAACCCCCTCAGAACAATTGACTGTTACTAGAACACCAGATGGTGCCCGGAGGCCAGGCCGAGGAAGAATATCCTGGGCATTTATGGCAAGAAAGTTCTGAGCAGCAACAAACTGCCCTCGATTTAAACTCTGCAAACTAACCCTCTCATTCTTTACTAAGTACTGAATCTCTCATTCTTTAGTAGGTACTGAAAACGACATCCAGAAGCTTACACTAAGAGGTGTTACCCCTGGTACTGCAAGAGTTGGTTTGGGGGAGCTTATTGTAAGGTATGTTAAAATATGAAGTAAATGTGTGTGCACATGTGTGGCATGTATTTTCCCCCAGTAAATCAGCAAAGTGCATGATGTCAGCACAAAGCTGGAAGGAGCAGGCAGCCTGTCATCACCACCTGCCAGGCGGCAGTGCAGCAGTTCCAGCCCAGTCGTTGTTTTGATTATCAAACCTGAGTTTGGTAGGTTCCTAACCATCTGGGACACGCACGCAAGTGAAATCTGTCAGCCTTCTCTGAGGAAACAGGTCAGAGTGTCACACCTGATGAGAAATTTTTCTTCTAATTAAGCAAGCTCTGGACAAGCCAAGTCCCTCCCACTGTCCCCGTAGGTATTCCCACCTTAAAAGGGCAGTTCTCAATCAGGCCTGCAATTAGACTTCACTCTTCCTTAAAAACCTACTGCCAGCTTTTTAAGTAACACCTTTTTTGAGTGCAGTAATAATAGGTCCTCCACTTCCCTAAGATGTTAGATAAGTTAGAGCTCTTCTTACTCTCTAAGATGCCTGAGATGTTGAAAGCTTGTAGTCCACAGACTCCTCTCTCATCCCTCTTCTGCTCTGGCCAAGTTAGCTGTATTCGTTCTCCAATCTTGCTGCTGGCTGTATATCATATGATTATGTAATAAACCAACGAAGTCTATAAAC